ATCTCTTGGAATACCGCTTACAACCTATCTGGATGGATGGACATAAAAATATCTTTGATGTTCATAACTAGTAAGTTAAAGATGGTAGGTCAAAGGGGCCGTTTAAAACGCTATGTTCACTCCATATCTCGGAAATGGACGGGGAGTGGCTCCGTCCTTCATTTGGACATAATTGCGGCTGTGCTTCTGTTGTGAAAATTTCTTTCGGCACAACTGGAGTCATGTTTTGTCTAGAGCAACAGATTTTCTCGAACGGAACTTTCCCATGTGAACATTCAACACATTCTTCAGCTCCTCTCTTCTTGTAACCTCGGCATGTTAGTTTTCAATAATTCAGTGTGTTATATTGTGCCTCACGAGGTTTTTAGGTGGAACTATTTATTTAACGGCCTGACGTTTCGACTAATCGTCTTCTTCAGAGGCCTAAAAGTGTTTCGAGGTTAAGAGATGTGCACTACCCCGCCAAGCGCCTAATCCACCCCAGCATTTCCGATGACATAGTGAAACTCAACCGAGAATCTCACGCAACAGAACACGAAGGCGCTCACCTTTGTTCCGCGTTTACAATGGAAACAAAGGTGAGCGCCTTCGTGTTCTGTTGTGTGAGATTCTCGGTTGAGTTTCACTATGTCATCGGAAATGCTTGGGTGGATTAGGCGCTTGGCGGGGTAGTGCACATCTCTTAACCTCGAAACACTTTTAGGCCTCTGAAGAAGACGATTAGTCGAAACGTCAGGCCGTTAAATAAATAGTTCCACCTAAAAACCTCGTGAGGCACAATATAACACACTGAATTATTGAGAATTCAACGCATTGTTTGAGTGAAGTACGTAGCCACGCCCTCCCTATCTCCACGATATGGCGTGATGTATGTGCCTTTAGATCCTGATCAAGCGGATATAAAAGACGGATTCGTAATCGCTATCAAATACCCATCGGTCGGTGCACATCACATTTCAAAAAGCCACTTTGACCTACTGTCCTTCCCTGGTAAGTATATTTCATAGTCCGGAGATGGGGAGAGAGGGGCGTGACCACATCACTTGGTGTGGGTATCGCCGCTATGAGACAGTTCTTGAAATGACTTGAAAGGAAGCACTGCAAGATGTCCATTGTTTCTCAAGTGGAAATGATCCACGGAAAGTGCATGTTGAATAGGAGGAGCAGCCCCGCCCTTCCCATCTTCGGTATAAATGTATTGATTTTTCTCGGGACTATAATGAATGCGCATTGTTAGTGATTGGTTGAGATGTAAGATTCTGCGTCTGTAATGAACATGAATTTTCCTAAAGTATTTATTTATTAAGAACCTTTGAAGATTCGAGATCAATATTTTCATAACACAAGCTGTTCACAACATAAAATTCTAGCGAGAAGCGCCTTCTACATGAGATTCACTTATAAAGCAGTGTAAAATGTGCCGGATTATTGCTAACTATTCTGGGAGAAAACTGTAGCCCTGCATAGGATAGACGATGGCAGGTCCAAGTTTACTTGGGTAAAATTTGCGGTGATAATATAAAGGACGTGCGGAGATGTACCCGTGTGCAGAGGACCTTGCGTGTAGTGATCCGAATGCTGCACTTGATTTGGATGAAGGCACATTTCACGATTTTCTGATATGTGGAATATTCACATGTATAGGGTGGGAAGGACCGCATCCTCATTGTTCGAACCACTTTCGCCAGTCAAAAGTTAATACTATTGGGTACAGTTCGAAATGTGAAATCAGCTCAGAGGAGCCCAACCACCCCCATCAAACCAACTGGACACTATATCGTTGAGAGGTCGTAGACGAGCAGAAGCAACTGTGCTTATGATCTGCTGTCATGGTAAAGAGCGTGAAAACCAAACAAGCTCCCCGGTTCCTGACGATTATGGTGGGTTCATTCTGGCTGCTGGAACCCACCTGCAGAAGGGCTCCTCTTCTCACGTCACCGTGAAATGTGCCTTTTAAGATGGGGGTCAACATCAACAGAACGAGCAGTGGAGGAGTGGACAGAAATGGGATTTTCAATGAAGTAAAGATTGCTGGCTCGTCTGGGTCATGCTGTATTGGTTTCGATTGTTCGAAAAATGAAGAGGAAAACACAATATCGCGTTTTCTTCGTTATTTTTCGAGCAGTTTGGGGTGGGGGAGGGAGTGCTGTACATTTTATGAATGGAAAACGAGACAAAAAGTTCAGAGTTATACGTGTCGCCGAAGGTGAAGGAAGGGGATATTGGTTGACAATCTTGTTCTCTGCGGATGCTAGGGCGTGTCAGGGGTATGGGTTTCGCTCGCTGACGTTTCGCTCTCGACCACTTATTAAAGTGGGCAAGCGCCAACAGTTTTTGGAGAGCGGATTGGTGCAGCCACAAACCAGTCTCCCTGACACGCCCCAGCGTCCGCTGTGGACAAGGCCGCAACTACCACTCGCATAGTTCGTGAGACCCATCCCTTTTCTCAATAATCGACGACGCGCTAACCCTGACCGTTCCAATTTTTCAACATTTTCAGTCGGTAAATATGGCGGCTAGTTATCTGCACAAACCGGGTATAATCTCAAGCGCCACTAGAAGGCGACTCAAGAGTTTATAACTATGCGTAACATTAGACCCAAATGTGGCGAATTCGATGGCGTGATCGCGTATGTCGCGCTGGTTGTGTCGGAGGATTCGAAAAGATGTTCACACAAGTCCGGAAGTGGTCGCTGGAGAAGCATGACGACCTGAAATATGGTAACTTAGTTATGTTAGCAATGCAAAAACATGGAAGAGTTGCTATTTCTGTATGTTTCTGCATGTTTAGCCTTCCAATTAGCATGCTATGGGTAGTAAAAAAACTATATTTGTTTGTTTATTTGTATGTTGATGTGGGTAATGGCACGGGAATATTAACTAGCTCCAGGGAAAATTGCAAAAACAGCTTATTTCAGCAATAAAATTTGAGCATGCTCGCTTTTATTACCGGTGCTTTTACAGTTTTCAGTAATTCCGAGGGTACTCGTTGATATTAACAGAGGAAGACCGGAATAGGTGTTTTTCTGTCCCAGTACAAATAACTACGTCAGCGTGTGATTTGTAAGCTACGTAGGTGAAATCATACAACAAAATAATTTGTGGGAACTACAACAAGCCTTTGTCTTAAAAAAAGGGTAAAACTGGTTTATAAGCTGCCAAGCTTGTTTCTTTAGAAACATGAAAGTAGGATATAGCCTTGTTCGCTATGGTCGAAAATACGTGTCAGGTTGGAGGGTTGGCGCGGCGCCAAGCCTGTTTTCCGCCAGTTTTTGAAGCGGGTAGGCGACAACAACTGGTGGAAAACGACTGATAAAAACGATGTTATGCGGTCTTTTC